ATCCTGTGACTACATCCAATAATGTCTCCATAGTCAACACAATGACCAACACCTCCAACTATTGTCCAGCCGAGGTCTGTGCGTTGAGCAAAGGGCTCATTGTCCTTTCCTGACACAACTTCTCTTGGTACTAATGCTTGTGAACAGTTATAACCATTAACAGAGCAACATCGCATTCAATCAGAGGGGCAATCTCTTCAGCAAGGTGCTCCAGGTGAGGCCATGCTCTTGCTGTCTTTGGTGTGGGAATATGATTTAAATTGGCAGGGATAAACTCTCTGGTATATGTCATAAGAAGAGGGATTCTCTTTGAAGAGTAGAAACCTCTGATTTGTAGCTCTGAAAGCCTTTGACTTGAAACAACAGTATCTTTAGATGACAACGTAGAGAGCTTTAACTGTACATCTCTTTTTTCTGTGTCCAGAGCATCTGCCTTTTCTTTGAGAACAAATGTAGTGTCGCTTTGACTATCCAGAAGGGCGTATACTAGCATTTCCTGTTCTGGATTACTTGCTGTGGACAACCAAACTGGAATTATTGTAGATGTGAGATTGCTCTTATCACCTTGGATCACACGGTTTGAGATTGCTTCACTTGATGTATCTTTACTTTGTTCTTTGGTTTCTTTAACTTGCCCTTGTTCTTTATCGCTGTCTTTATTTCTTCTGAACTCTTTGTCTCGTTCTTCATGTAAACATGTTGGGTGTTTTCCCTTACAGGTGTTACAAACACTTCTCTTTTCACATTTCTTGGATTGGTGTCCAAAAACTGAGACATCCAAAACATAGTCCTTTCAATTTCACAAACTTCACTCTTTCAGTTATGGCTTTCTCCATGAACTTCCGACATGTCTGGATGTTGTGATTTAATCTTTCACAGAAAACACATTTGTTTATTTCTGTTCTCTCTTCTGTGCTGCTTACAAATGTCTTTGTTCCGACACTTCGAGCTTTTAAAGGGTTCACTTTCTCTGAGTCATTTGTTTTGAGAGCATGCAGTGATGTCACTGGGTTACATGCTATTTTAGCTTCTCTTGTGACAAAGTCAACAAAGTTGCTGAAGGTTGGAAATGAACCAGTCTCTTCTTCAATCTGAATGACTTGCCTGTTCCATCTTGCTGTAAGCCAATCAGGCAGCTTGTTGAGCATTCGTTGGTTCTCACTGCAGTCATTCAGAACCTCGAGACTCTTTATCTGAGACATTGCTGCTTCACAGCCTCTGAGAAAATCTGAGAACTCTCTTAGTTCAGCGCTGTCTTTTGTTCCAATTTTCGGCCATGACGAGAGCTTATCTCTGAAAGCTTTAGCGATTATGAATGAACTTCCATATCTTCCTCCAGAATGTTCCAGGCTGAATGGTATGCTATGTCTGTTCCCAGTAGAAAGTAACCCTCAATAGCCTTTCTTGCAGGACCACCAACATACTTTCGTAGGTAGTAGATCTTTTCACCCACTGGAATGTTCTTTCTTTCAATCAGCATTTGAAATGAAATTTTCCAATCCTTGTACTTGATTGGATCACCATTGAAAACAGCAGGTTCTGGAAACTGGTAATCGGTTAATGTTAATGGACTCTGCTAAAACCCTTGCCAGTACTGTTGCGCCATCTTCCTGCGTGGCATTGTTGGTAGGTTGCGCACTTGAGGTGTTGTCTTGTGGTGATGTAAATGATTGTGCACTTGGATTGAGTCTTGAAGGTTTCAAACTTAGGCTGAGGCTGGCTTACTGGAATTGATGTGGTCTTTGATTTTCCACATCATGCAGAAGATCCGATATTTCTTCATCTGAGTTGAGTTCTTGCTTGTAGACTCTCACTCGTGCTTTGGCAGCTTCCATCTGTTTTACAGCTTCTAAACGTTCAAGCTCTCTTTTTCTTCTTTCTAACATTCTTTGGGTTTCAGCATTCTCTGCCTTTTGTTTTGCAAGTCTTTCTTTGTTTTCCAATTCAAGCTCTTCCAGTTTCTCTCTTTCCCACTCCATTTCTTCCATCATCTTTAGAGTGGCTTCCATGGCTGCAAGTTCTGCTGCTGCTTCTTGTCTTTTGACAGACAACTTACTCGAATGGCTTGAACGTACACTACCCGATTGTGTGGAAACTTGCGAGGTTGTTAAAGTGAACACAGAGCCAGCTTCACTCCAACCAGCCGATCTCCTTTCTATATTTCTCATCTTCCTTTTCACCAGTGTTTCCTTGAACTTGGTTTATAAGTTTTTGTGAAACTGCATCACAGTGTCCACTCTGCGACGAGTGTCTCTGTCAGGTGTTTCATAACTTCGCAGCTCTTCGTAGGCTTGCTTCACTTCTCCTGAAGCATGTTGGATTTGAACAATGTGATTGTGCAAACTTGGTTCATCAGGTGCTTCAAGTGATCTTTTAGCTTGTTTAGCAGCAGTTTTCCATTTGTTATAACTGATCTTGAAACGAGCTTGAAGCCTGCTCACCTTTTCTTCATGTAGTGTTTGGCCTTTCTCTGTGAGTTTTCTCTGCCTTACACTTTTCCTCAAGCCTTCTTCTGGAACAGCTTGACTTGTTCTTGCCTCCAAGGGGATTGTATCTGAGGCCTTCTCTTCGTGATTCCCATCTTGCTGCAGCTCCATAGCTCCAGCATCACAGTCTTTCTGTGTGGCCATGTCACTGTTCAATTGTGTGTGCACTAAGGGTTTTCTTAACTGTAACTTAAAATGTTCCTATATTAAAAATAATATTTAAAATATATATATATATATATATATATATATATATATATATATATATATATAAAATATATAAAATATATATATATATATAGCTTCAAGCGCTAACCTTTCAGTTTGTTCATAAACTTAAATTATTTTCCTTGAATGAACTTAAATGTAGTGAATCTTTAACACTCTTTACACCTTTATGTGTTTAAGCTTAAATTATTTCTATCTTCAAAGACGAACTTAAATGTGGTGTAACAAACACCTTAATCAGAACAATAAATCTTCTTTCACTTGTTACAAAACAGAAAAAAAGAAAAATAGCTTCCATGTGAAACCAAATTATAACTTGCTTTTAAGGTACCTTAGTTTACTATTAACTTGTCAAAACACTTATAATTCACTTGAATAACTTGGTAACAATTACCTTGCAAACATTTACTTATCTATATATTTTTTCAAACTTAAGCTTTAACTTTATACCACAGCAGATTACCCTCTTAAACACTTATAGAGTCCCTTTCAAAGTTAGCAAAGCTAATTCACCTATTCACATTTAACTTATTTTAAACGTGTTACTTGGTGGCAGATTAACCACGCTGCACTCCTGGACTCTTGGCTGCCTCTGGTTCAGGTAACCCTGCATGCAGTCGGTTTTTTCCTTCGATGCTAGAGAGCGACGTCACCCCTTAACGAGCTGCTCGTTGACGGCTCCGCAGCTGCAACAGACTCCGCTCTTCTCTCCACACTTGTCCAGCACGAAGCAGTTGAGTTCTGACTGTTACTCCTCTCGAGTTCAATTAAACTTAACGCAGTTCTTGATTTTCTACAGCCATTTATTTCAGACACGTTCTTCGAGGTCCTCAAAAAATGCCGTCAGAACTACAAAAAAAGGTAACACAACCTAAATCAGTTCACAACGAATGACACAATATAACAAAAGATACATACAACAAAACTGTACCTCATTAGCTGCATCAACTCCAGAGGAATAAAGTCTAATCTTCTCACAGTCTCTCCAGCCCGCATGACCCACATGGCTCCAAATGCGACAGCCAAAGCTCCCCGGGCAACACATGCCGCGCGGAACAAAAGTTCCCCCTCTATATTCCAATGTACACCCAACATAAAACCAATAAAATTACTACTGCCACCTTAAACATAAAAAACAAAATAAAAAACAAGAGGCAGTTGTCCTGACAGCAGCCACATTATTATTAGACCAAAACCACGAAGGAAACAATGATTCTAAATACCAAAATATGAACTTTGTTCTGGTGCTGGGCGGTCAGCCGGTCCCGTTCGGACCCAGTTGGCCGGTCCGTTTCTGACCCAGGTCCGGTTCTGACCCAGAAGCTGTGTGTTCTCCTGCAGAGTCATCACTGAGAGCAACAGGAAGTTCTGCCTGGATCCGACTGGACCTGGACCCGGAAACTGCAGACAGAGTTTGGGACAGAAAAACGGCTCCACTGAGATCTGGATCGGAACCGAGTCTGCTGGAGCGGGAAGAACCGTTTGGATGTTTTAACGACACTGGACGAGTCGCTGATAGTTCTCAATTTTTACTGCTAATTTATGATTTTATAAAGTTTTTGTTTTTCAGTTTGTCTGATGGAGAATTGATCATTTAGGAACATTTATGTTTCCAAATCGTCACTGATTGTTATGAGCTTGAATTTAAGGTTTTTAACAAAACTTTTGTTTCTTTTTGCTGGAAAAGTTGATGATGTTCATCGCAAAGTTACTCATTTCATAATAAAAGCTCTTTATCCTGGTGATCATGAATGTCAGTGTAGCAAGTTCATCTTATTGTTAATATTATTATGAATGAACATTCTCTAAACTTTCAGTGGAACATTTTATTTGTAGTTTCTACTTTTATACTAATTTCCTTTTATTTTTGTTGCCAAGTTAATAGTTCCTGTTGTTAGTTGTTGCGGGGGGCGATAATTGGTGTGACACATCTCTTCTCCGTGTGCGCAGCCGCAGACTGGTGAGGTTCTCCCTGTGAGCTAAGCTAGCAGTTATGAAATGAAATGTAGTTGCTAAGGTTCAGAAATATTAGATTAAGATTATAATAGCTGTTTTATGAGGTCTGTGTTTGATTTTGTTCCATTTATTGTGTTTGAATAAACACTTTTCAGATCTAACATTTTCATTATTTAAAGAGAAAATGCGATTTTAAGTGTAAACCTTCATACGGGAAATGAATGTAGACAGAAACAGATGGAAACAATAAAAATGCAAATATCCCCAAAAGTTTGATCAACATGTTGATTTATTCCTTTATTCTGAGCTCAGCTGGTGTTTTAACAATCATGTCGCTCCATCTACGCCTTAGAGCGACAGAACCAGTCAAACCAGGAATCCATTTTCTGTAGAAAACATCTTATAGATCATGTCTACATGAATTAATCCAAAAACAGAAAACCAACAAAGCAAAAGAAAGGAAGAGGAAGAACAGAGAAATGGAGAAAAAACAAATCAGTTTCCGGTTCTGGTTGGGATTTCAAACTTCACCACTAGATGGCAGTAATAGCCCAATGGGTTGAAAATACGTTGATTTTGGGCACTTTTATGGAAAAACATAATTTTAAATCATAAAAAGCAGTCAGACAAGCTCTTGGTGGTTAAAGAGTTTAAATGCATTGCTGTCTTGCTAACATTAAGTTGTAACTTTTATTATTTGATCTGGATTTTAAACAACTTTTTTCCAGAACTGGAATCCAAGTTAAGCTGGAAAGTTTCCTGAAAACACAGAGGAGGAAAACTTCTGCTAAAGTCCAGTTTAGACAAGAACTGTGACTGATTAATGAAAACTGTGCAGCCCTTGGATGTTTGGCTCTTTTTATTGCTTTTATCAATCAATCTTTTCCCTGCCTACAGAAGAAACACATTTTAAATTATTTTTGTATTTTTATTTTAAGTCCATTCATCATAATGGTTTTTCCACCAGTAAAATTCCAGTCCTGATCTGGTTCTGTGAAAGCCCCGGTTCCATTTCCACCTCCTGGGAACCGAGTCAGAACCACATTGTTACCAACTCCTCATCCAGTCCACGTTTTATTATCACATTTAACAGTTTAATTTAAGCTTCATATCTCAGTTTATTAACAGGTAGATCCTGAATGCGTCTCAGTCGGCTGGAAAACTCGACCTGGTTCTTTAGGGAACCAGAGATTCAGGGGATCATCAGTTGTGAGCGGATCACTGAGACTCTGCTGCCGCTTTTCTGATGCTAATCTGACATTTTATCATCATTAATGAACCTTTCATTCAGCTGTTTCTGTTTTTCATTTTTAATTTGATGCCTCCTGATCAAATCCTCTGATCCAGCCGGAGTTTAGTGGAAAACAAACACAACGCGTGTCAAACGTTTCAGGGTTCTTCCCCAGCTCTGTTCAATCTGCTTTACTCTGACGCCAGTCCGTCTGTCTAGTCAAAGTCTGGTTTGGTCAGGTGTGAATGCTAATCGACCTCTGACCTCAACCGGTCTGGGTTCGGTTTGAATGTGAACGCCACGCGGACCAGAGACTGCACCACGAATAGGAAGTGGACGACAGCACAGGGCATTCTGGGTAAATACAACCAAAGCTAACGTTCTAGCCCAATGCTAACAGGAGAAATGACTAAAGAGAAATCCTCCAGCACTAAACTCTGACGCCTCCATCTTGTTTCATCTGGTGAAGCAGGAAGTTGCTCTCAGCGTCTTCAGAGGTTTTAGTGTCGTTTCCAGCGCCCCCACAGGCCAGGAGGGTAACAGGCTGGTTTGACTCAGAGCAGAGAGAAAGAACCTCAGCAGATGGAGTTGTTAAATGTTTGGTACCAATAGAACCGAGTCTTCTGGACTATCAGGGGGAAATCAGACTAAATGTTGGCTGGGATTTAAACCGATGGACAGATTCTATAAATCTGGACTCATTAAAGGGTTGAAGCTGCAGCACTGAACAAATCTAAACCTGAAGGAGAAGATATTAAAGGAAGACTCCTCAGCTGGAGATCCAACATCAGCGGTTCCTCCGGCTCGGATCCTGCAGGGTGGTGACCCGTACGCAGACCGGGGCCCTTAGGGGCCACAGCTGGACGTCCATCTGGGAGTCAGATTAAAGATTTAAAGGGAAAGACACTGGAAATGTCCATCAGAAAGCAGAAGGTGGCAGTGTGGACCGATGCGTCTCGTTGGACGGGAGTCCGTCGCTTTCCTTTTTGGACGCAGACGAGAAGTCTTCCTGCGAGAAGTCACTCATCTCCTTGTGGCGCTCCTGCTTCCACACCCGCTCGTACTCCTGCTTCAGCTCCTGGTAAGAGCGAGAGAAGGTGTGGAAGATGGAGGTGGCCGGGAACGCCATGATGAGGATGCCGCTCAGGATGCTGACGAGCGCCACCATCTGGCCGGGGACGCTGCGTGGCACCATGTCGCCGTAGCCCACCGTGGTCATGGAGATGATGGCCCACCAGTAGGAGGCCGGGATGCTGCTGAAGCTGTGCTGGGGATGCGCGGCGGCGAACGGCGCGAGCTCGCTCTCGGCCAGGTGGACCAGCGGCGAGAAGAGGGCGACGGCCACACAGACGAAGAGCAGCAGCAGGCCGAACTCCCGCATGCTGCGCTGCATGGTGACGCCCAGCGTCTGCAGGCCCAGGGAGTGGCGCGCCAGCCGCATCACGTACAGGATCCGCAGCGCCCGCAGCAGCCGCAGGATCAGGCTCAGCTTGTCCAGGTAGCCGCGGCCCACCGCCGCCTCGTCCTGCGCCTCCTCACCGACGTCGAACACCAGCGACACGTAGTACGGCAGGATGGCGACGGCGTCGATGATGTTGAGCGGGCCGCGAGCGAAGGCCAGCTTGGAGGGAGCGTTGACGAAGCGCAGCAGGAACTCCAGGGTGAACCAGGCCACGCACACGGACTCCACCACGAACATGTTGCGACACTTCTGGGAGCATTCGCCCTGCGGAGGAGGAAACATGGAGACGTTTCATCAAACTGCGGCATCCGAGAGGAAACCAAAGAGCCGTTTTAAAGCTGCACAGCAACAGTTCAGACTATTCAGTCTGTCATAAACTAAACACTTAGCCAACTAACTATCCCGTTTAGTGGTAAATATGTAGTTAAATAGCTTTAAACTACATTTGGTTTGTTAGTCTGAGCTACTAATCTGCCTGCTAACTAAAAACATAGTTAAGCTAAAGATTTAAGTCACTGAAATACTTTGGAGGTAAATATGTTGTTCTGAGCTAAATGTGTCAGCAAGCTAAATATTTAACTTCAAACTAAATATTTAGTTTGTAACTGTGAACGTTATGAATGAATGAATGAATCCTAAGGTTTCCCTTCATGGCTTGAAGTGTAAGTCCTGTTCAGGATGCGGTTCATTCTGTTTCACAGATCCAGATTATTTCCTCCTGAACCTCCAGCAGGGCGGGTCCGGGTCACACCTGGAGAAACCACCTGAGTCCAGAACGGGTCGTTTCACATAAAAACATGAATTCAGTTTCTGTCTGGATCAGGAGACGAACCAGAGGAGCTGCAGTGATGTAAGAATGTTTCTGTCTCTGCTGCATGAAAACCATGAGCTGAAAAGCTTCAGTGACAGATTATCTCAAATCGACATGAAGACCAGAAGAAGAACGATGAGCAGAGATCCTGGCTGGGAGGAAACCAGCTGCTTGTTAGTCAGGATCCAGAGGAGAGGCTCTGCCTGCAGGTTACTGTAGAAAATTAATTCAGATTTATGGTTTAAAGACAAGATGGACGCAGCGTTCTGCTTCCTCTCCTTCTGCTAATTTGGATTTTTAGTTTTCGTCCTCAGAGGAAGATTGAAGGCTGACAGTCACAGAAATCCACAGATCAACTATTTAGTACATTTTGTCTTATCACTTGTATGAAAATTAAAATAATATTTATAATTCAGCAGATTGTAACAAACAAATTAAGAAAATATTGAATATTCTGAATTTTTAAGCTGTAAACATGATTTATTCAGCAAGAAAGCCTGCAGAGCATCGATTTGCTTCCTGTTGAAACGGAAAAAATCATTTCTTTTCCTGTGAGATTCAACAACAGAACAGCGAAAACACAGACGTGATTAACGAGGCTGTCAGCGCGACAGACACAGCTTTTAGGAAATAATAAAGTGGATATTTTTAATCTGGCCGCCGCCACAGGAAGCTCCGCTCCAGGACACAGGAATGATTCCCTGCATGAGGTGGACCAGAGCAGAGAATCAAACCAGCAGCAGCCGGGACCGGCCTCTTACCAAACACCTCAACATGAACAACTTGGACTTGGACTAGGCCATTATGCACCATAATGCCTCTGACTGCATGTTGGAAGCTGAACTTCTGCTGAACTGAACCTCCAGCCATCAGCAGCTCTACACAAATACAGAGTTCATCAACTAAACATTTAGTTTTAAAGTCAATATTTAGTTTGAAACTATTTAGTTGCAACATAAATAGTTACTTATCTAAATGTGTTTCTTGAAGCTACATATTTAGCTCAGTAACTAAATATTTAGCAAGCAAAATGTTTAGCTAACTAACAAAATATTTAGTTTGAAGCTAAATATCAGCTAAATAAGTTAGCTTCAAGCTAAACCGTTTGTTTGCGGGTAACTGTTTAGCATCACACAACATTTTGCATGAACTTCAGTTCAGAGATCAGAGCATCATCTGCATGTTTACCATCTCCAACAAAACTTCATCCCACAGCATGACAAGTCCACCACCATGCTTCAGGAAATGAGGGGTGTGTCCACAGTTTTGACTCTCAAACCGAATAGTAAACTTTAATCTGATCTAAGCATGATATGCTGATCTATCCCTTAAAATCGCTGGTGTTTATTTATCGTATAAGAAAATAAGGAAACGTTTGCTGCTTTTCCAAAAAGTTTCGTGATTGTGTTTTGGTAACACAAGCGTTAAATTTGAGCCTGAAGATCAAATTTTAAACATTATTAGTCAGTCAGGACAGAAAGTTGAACTGGTTCAGGACTTTTGCTCAGTACTGGGTGGATTCAGTCCCGTTCCCTAAACTGGAAAAGCCTCAAACTCACCCGGTTCTCCTCGTCTCTGAGGTCCGGCATGGTACTGATGCAGAGGCTGACCACAGTCACCAGAACCATGATGATGGACAGGCAGGCGAAGATCTTCCCCGCCAAACCCGAGTGCGGGTTTTCCATCACCTCCCGCAGCGCCGACACCAGCCTGCGGTAGCCCTTCTCCGCCTGCGGGGGTCTCTCCTTCAGCTTCATCCTCTTCTGCCTCCACTCCTCCTCCTTCCGCCGGCGCTCTGCCACCTCGTCCACCCGGGTGATCATCCGCCGCCGGCAGCAGCGCTCCATGTGGCCCGGGTCCACGCCCCAGTAGTCCAGCTCATCGTGCAGAGAGACGGCGCACAGCTCCCGGAGAAGACGCAGCTTTCCCGCCGCCAGGAAATTCAGGATGACCCTGAAGGCCGTGGGGTTCCGGTCGAAGAAGAACTCCCGACACGTCTCGTCGTAGTCGTCGCAGAGCCGAGCGATCTCCTCCGGCGTGGTGCAGGAGCGAAGACGGGCCAGCCGGCTCTGGGGGAACTGCTCCAGCGTGCTCCAGGGAAGGCGTAGCGGTTCCCCCCGACGTTGATGAGGACCTGCACGGCGTGGTCCACCGTGAAGGAGGCCTGGGGCTCCCGCAGCAGCCGGCGCGCTGGAAGTACACCCCCTTTAGGGTCTCGGTCTCTGGGATCTCAGTGAAGAACCGGTCCAGGCTGCTATCGTCGCTGCTGATGGAGTAGGTGCTGAAGTCATGGTTGGCATTGCTGATGATGGGCATGCTGGCAGCAGATCCGGGACGGAATAGAAGAACTTTCTGTGGTCGAGCTAAAGAGGAAGACCAACTCCGAGCAAGATACTGAAAAGACAGAAAAACTAGAAGTTAGCCTGAGATGCTGCTCAGCTCCGATCTCTTCTCTCATGTACGCAAATGTTTGTCAATCTTCTGCTAATGCTGAAAAATCACAATGACGTGAATGAGCTTGTTCCAGTGATGAGTCATTAAAAGTCAAAGCAGTGATGGATGAAAACCATTGCCCTCCTCACTTCCTTGTCGTTTCTGCCAGTAGTAACATTCAGGTGTGGATGTAGCTAGCAGGTGGAGATGTTTTGACTTCTTGTAATTAAGTTAGAATATAAAAACAGAAATACTAAACTATCATTCAGGATAGTAAAAGTCTAGTAAAAACTAATTTTTAAATATCTGGAATGTAAATACAGAAACCAATTCTGTTAAAACGGCCTGCCATATCCCCGTGTTCCCTCTTTCCTCCAGCAGGTGGCGCCTCTCAGACTTCTGGGGATCTAAACTCAATCTGTAGCTTTAGTCCATCAAACCACCGGAACAACCTGCTGCTGTGAAGCAGGAATTACATAATATCATAGATTATCCAACTGACCGGCCGGAAGCTGCAGCATCACAACAGATGAACTTTAACCTCCAGCTTTAACACGGTTCTCTGGTTTAGGTTAGAAACTTCTGGATCCCGGCAGAGCTGCAGACTCGATTCAATCAAAATCAAAATCAGAAAGTTAATGGGATGAAACGTGAAGCGGAGTCACCTGTCAGGGCAAAGGTGGAGCATAAGGAGTCCTCAGCCCAGCCTGTCCCGGATGTCCACCTGTCCCCCGGGATCCACCTGTCCCTGGGATGTCCACCTGTCCCCCGGGATGTCCACCTGTCCCTGGGATGTCCACCTGTCCCTCGCAGAAATAATAATGCGTTTATTTAACAGCGGTTTCCTGAAACCTGCTGCTTTGTTTCATCTTGTTCCGACAGCAGGACCTTCCTCCTCTTCCTCTTCTTCCTCCTCTTCCTCCTGTCTAACAGGCGGTTCCGCTCTCAGAGGTCGGGAGAAGTTTGTTTAAAAGCAGGAAATGGATCCGGAGACGCACAGATTTCCTCAGGTTGGTCCGACTGAGATCCGTCCTGCTGCGCGGACCGAACCGAACAGAAAAATGATCCGGTTAGAAGAGCTGGCAGGTCTGGAGCGGCCAGCAGGGGGCGAGAGTGAGGTGGACTCACCTGTAAAGGCAGCCAGTTCTCTGTGGAAAAAGAAATCACATTTTTATTCAGGGTTGATATTACATTTCCCAAAATCGATTTAAAACAGAAGCAAATCCACCGCCCGTCATTCTGCATGAATGAAACACCAAACTGTCGTTTTGCGGACAGAATAGATCATGACAATCACTTACTGCTGCCCCAAACGTCGAACGGAACCGAACCGAGAGACGATGCTCAGTGAGTCCGTCCATGATGGATTCATGTTGTGACTCTGAGTTCACAACATGAACAGATTCTTCCTGCTCTTCTGTAAATGTTTCATCTGTTGGCCTTTAGCTTCTGAGTCAAATACTTATCTTAGCTAAGTTGCTGTCTAGCTATTCAGCTTATGCTACTTAATTAGCTTGCTAATTGGGTCGGCAAACTTACTATTTGGTTTTAAATTGAACCTAATGTTTGAGGCTAACTAGTTAGCAAGCTAAATATGTAGTTTGAAGCTTAGCTAGCTTCAGTCTAAATATTTAGCTTCAACTACATATTTAGCATGCTAACTAGATAGCATCAAACGAACTACAATCTGAATATCTTGTTGTCTAGCAACATATTTAGCTTCAACTCGACATGTGGAGACATGCTAAATGAACAGTGTTGTATAGTAACGAAGCAAAAATACTTCACTACTTTACTTAAGTATATTTTGGAGCATTTCATACTTTCCTCGAGTATGAAAATTTTTGATAACTTTCATTTTTACTACACTATATTTCTGAACTTAATTGCAAACTTTTACTCCGATCCATTTTCAATGTGTGGTTTAGTTACTCGTTACTGTGATGGAGGACCCGTCACGAGTTAGGGCCTAATTAAAGAGTTAACACACACACAAACACACACACATACACAATCACATACACAAACCTACACAATCACACACAAACACACAATCACATACACAATCACACACAAACACACATACACAAACACACACAATCACATACACAATCACACACAATCACACACAAACACACAATCACACACAAACACACACAATGCTTACTTACGTTTTTGTTGCAGCTTAAACTGGCGCGGTTCATCGTGGGGTCACGCTGTGTTCCCGCTCTGTCATTTATTTATTTTTGTCTCTTATTAATTATTTTGTATACTTTAAGAATTGATTTGAGTTAGGAGTAATTGCTTAGTTTTTGTTATCTTGATATGACTTTCTATGGGTGGAGCCTGTGGCTTTCTATGGGTGGAGCCTGTGGCTTTCTGTGGGAGGAGCCTGTGGCTTTCTGTGGGAGGAGCCTGTGGCTATCTGTGGGAGGAGCCTGTGTCTTTCTGTGGGAGGAGCCTGTGGCTATCTGTGGGTGGAGCCTGTGGCTTTCTGTGGGAGGAGCCTGTGGCTTTCTGTGGGAGGAGCCTGTGGCTTTCTGTGGGAGGAGCCTGTGGCTATCTGTGGGAGGAGCCTGTGGCTTTCTATGGGTGGAGCCTGTGGCTTTCTGCGGGTGGAGCCTGTGGCTTTCTGTGGGTGGAGCCTGTGGCTTTCTGTGGGTGGAGCCTGTGGCTTTCTGTGGGAGGAGCCTGTGGCTATCTGTGGGAGGAGCCTGTGGCTTTCTGGGGGAGGAGCCTGTGGCTTTCTGTGGGAGGAGCATGTGGCTTTCTGGGGGAGGAGCCTGTGGCTTTCTGCGGGTGGAGCCTGTGGCTTTCTGTGGGTGGAGCCTGTGGCTTTCTGTGGGTGGAGCCTGTGGCTTTCTGTGGGAGGAGCCTGTGGCTTTCTGTGGGAGGAGCCTGTGGCTTTCTGTGGGAGGAGCCTGTGGCTATCTGTGGGAGGAGCCTGTGGCTTTCTATGGGTGGAGCCTGTGGCTTTCTGTGGGAGGAGCCTGTGGCTTTCTGTGGGAGGAGCCTGTGGCTTTCTGTGGGAGGAGCCTGTGGCTATCTGTGGGAGGAGCCTGTGGCTATCTGTGGGAGGAGCCTGTGGCTTTCTGTGGGAGGAGCCTGTGGCTTTCTGTGGGAGGAGCCTGTGGCTATCTGTGGGAGGAGCCTGTGGCTTTCTGTGGGAGGAGCCTGTGGCTTTCTGTGGGAGGAGCCTGTGGCTTTCTGTGGGAGGAGCCTGTGGCTTTCTATGGGAGGAGCCTGTGGCTATCTGTGGGAGGAGCCTGTGGCTTTCTGTGGGTGGAGCCTGTGGCTTTCTGTGGGTGGAGCCTGTGGCTTTCTGTGGGTGGAGCCTGTGGCTTTCTGTGGGAGGAGCATGGCTTTCTGGGGGAGGAGCATGTGGCTTTCTGTGGGTGGAGCCTGTGGCTTTCTGCGGGTGGAGCCTGTGGCTTTCTGCGGGTGGAGCCTGTGGCTTTCTGTGGGTGGAGCCTGTGGCTTTCTGTGGGAGGAGCCTGTGGCTATCTGTGGGAGGAGCCTGTGGCTTTCTGGGGAGGAGCCTGTGGCTTTCTGTGGGAGGAGCCTGTGGCTTTCTGTGGGAGGAGCCTGTGGCTTTCTGTGGGAGGAGCATGGCTTTCTGGGGGAGGAGCATGTGGCTTTCTGTGGGAGGAGCCTGTGGCTTTCTGGGGAGGAGCCTGTGGCTTTCTGTGGGAGGAGCATGTGGCTTTCTGGGTAGGAGCATGTGGCTTTCTGGGGAGGAGCCTGTGGCTTTCTGTGGAGGAGCCTGTGGCTTTCTGGGGGAGGAGCATGTGGCTTTCTGGGGGAGGAGCCTGTGGCTTTCTGGGGAGGAGCATGTGGCTTTCTGTGGGAGGAGCCTGTGGCTTTCTGTGGGTGGAGCCTGTGGCTTTCTGTGGGAGGAGCCTGTGGCTATCTGTGGGAGGAGCATGTGGCTTTCTGGGTAGGAGCATGTGGCTTTCTGTGGGAGGAGCATGTGGCTTTCTGGGGAGGAGCATGTGGCTTTTGGGGGAGGAGCATGTGGCTTTCTGGGGGAGGAGCATGTGGCTTTCTGGGGGAGGAGCATGTGGCTTTCTGTGGGAGGAGCATGGCTTTCTGGGGGAGGAGCATGTGGCTTTCTGTGGGAGGAGCCTGTGGCTTTCTGGGGGAGGAGCATGTGGCTTTCTTTGGGAGGAGCCTGTGGCTTTCTGGGGGAGGAGCATGTGGCTTTCTGTGGGAGGAGCCTGTGGCTTTCTGGGGGAGGAGCCTGTGGCTTTCTGTGGGAGGAGCATGTGGCTTTCTGGGGGAGGAGCATGTGGCTTTCTGGGGGAGGAGCCTGTGGCTTTCTGTGGGAGGAGCATGTGGCTTTCTGGGGGAGGAGCATGTGGCTTTCTTTGGGAGGAGCCTGTGGCTTTCTGGGGGAGGAGCATGTGGCTTTCTGTGGGAGGAGCATGTGGCTTTCTTTGGGAGGAGCCTGTGGCTTTCTGTGGGAGGAGCATGTGGCTTTAAAAGAAGGGCTCTGTTCAACAGTCTGCAGCTAAACTCTGGAGAATCACACTAGAGGTGATACATGCTGAACTTAAGTACTGCTGTGTTGATTTTAATCTGCCATGGATGTCTATCACCACCAATACGATGCACCTGTTTCACTTCTCCCATTAAACACCAAGTTAACTAAAAGCTCTCCCTCTTCAGATGTCAATAAGCTGCATTTCCCTTCCAATTCTTTTTTCTTTTGCATTATGACCAGTTGTGTCCACCTGTAGTTTGTGAAGTAGAGTAATCGTAACAGGTTTTTTCTTCATGTTAGTCGCATTTTCAGCACTGACCTTACTAAAAGGGAAAATTTAAGGCTTACAAAAACTTTGTATTTTCTGTCTTGGAGGGTTTACTAAGAAGCTGGTTCAGTTGTAAAGCAGGTTAAGATAACCTAAGCAGTGTGACCTCGGTTACGACCTTAGTTATGTGTGAAGAACCTTAAATCCTCTGGTGTTGTCTTTTTACCAGATCACACATAAGTTTGTAAAGAAAATGATCAGAGGCACTGATGCAAATTAACCACAGTTTAGTTAATCACAATAATGCTAGGCATAAATAGTCAATTTATTTTATTGTACAATATCAACCACTTTAAAATCCTAAATCTATGCTGGCCCTGGAAACCTTACCGCTGATGACCAGTTACTCTCATTAAATAAAATCAGACTGCTTGGGGGAGAAATAATAATTAAAAAACAAATGTAACTGAATACACCTAGGTGTTCCCAAACAAAAACACTCGCACAACAAAAGAAAACTCCCGGTGAATAACACAAAACAAGAAACTCCCCTTCCACTAGTCTCCTCAATCTAGATAAAACAGCTTGGAGCCAGGGACAGCACAGGTTATCTACAAGCGAGCCTGGAGGGCTGAACAATAAAAACTCCCAAAAGAATAAAAAGTTTAATCCATAAATAACCAAACAAACTAAAACCGAAACAGTAGCAGGCCAACCTTCGCTAAAAGCTAGCAGAGCTCTGTATATCCTCTCCATAAGGAGGTTTCCTGCAGAGGAATCAGCCTGGACTCTCACCCTCTCAGCAATCTACCCGCTTTTAAATGTAAATGCCGATTGCTTGCCTCCGTAATGAATCAGCTGCGCTAAAACACAGCGTCTTCCTTATATGGGCAACTGGAAGAGTGCATAATGGACATAATGCCCCGGCTACAGCAGGTTAAGTTAACCTTGTAGGTAAAGCACCTAATGTTCTTAACTAAATGATGCTGCAAGTTTATCTATTAGCAGGTTTCATTTTGCCTGCACTTGATTGTGTTCATTATTTTAAGTGTATTTGACAAGTTTACCAAAATTTAAAAATGTCATTCAAACTGCATTTACCTTGTTTTATTTTTTACTTATGCTTTTCATTACATTACTTGAGTTCATCCATTTTTACAGTAATTTCCAGACTTAAGTACAAGACGTTTCAGATACTTTAAGACTTTAACGCAAGTAACATTTCAGTGACTTGGACTTTTACCAAAGTCATATTTTTGGAGAGATATCTGTACTTTCACTTGACTCTGAGATTTCAGTACTTCATACAACTCTGTAAATGAATGAATAAGAAGGTGAAACATGTTTGTTTTTAATAAACCTTTCTTTATTTGTCTTGCTGCTGATTTCTGACTGTAACCTTCTCGCGTCCTGTCAGGTTCTGTTGAGTCTGGAGGAGGAAGATGAGCCGCTCCTCATCCTCAGTCTCATTAACTCCACATTAAAACACAAAGCGCTTCATCCACTCTTGGGATGAAACGACCTTTGACCTTGCAGGCTGATTGAATATGAAGGATTACATGATAATCCTGGCAGGAGAAAAGGCGGCGGCCTCTTGAACCTCCTGGGAGACGGTGATAAATATTTATGGGCCTCCAGAGCCGCAGCAGGTCCTGCCGTTTCATCCCGCAGGCTGGCTGATTACAGATGAGACTAAACAGGTTTCTATCGGAGCAGCGCTGCTGAAGGTTTCCACGGTTCACCGACTCTCTGACAGCAGAAATTAAATCAAACTCCCTGGGAAGCTGCGGCTCGCCTGGGGAGACGTGCAGCGGGGCAACGGACGGCCCTGAACGCAACACGAACATCTCTCCAACACGCGTTAATTAACTGCCGGCCTTATTGGGCAGAGAGCGGCTTCATGCGGCTTCATGCGGCTTCATGCGGCTTCATGCGGC